AGCTGGTGGAGATGTTCCCCGGTGCTGTCTCCTTCCTGGAAGCCCATGGCAGGGCATGAGGCTGGCACAGGTCCCATGGGCTGCCCCCCACCCTGGTTAATGATTTTCAGATCCCATCACCTCCTCCAAGTGCGCACAGCTTCCTCTTGGACCTTGCCCTGCTGCCAGGCACCATTCCCAGCCACCTGCCTGCACTGCCACCTGTTCCCGCACACCTCCGTGGGGCTTGGTCATGCTCCTCCAGCTGAACATCCTTCCCCTCTCCACCCCACCGGCGCAAGCAGACCCCAAACCCAGCCTGTGAGTCACTGCTGTCCCCCAGCCACGCCGCCTGGCACTGCCGTTGCGAAGCACAGGGCATGTAGCTCCAATATGGACCTGGCTGGCAGGTGGGACGCTGCCCACTGCCCCCCCAGACACTCACCATTGTGGCTGTTGTGCACGTAGACCACCTGGGCCTGCTCGGTTGGTGTGCGCCCCAGGCAGTAGAGGATCCCCACCAGGTCAGCCATGGAGAAGCCCCTGGCCTGGACTTCGTTGCTGCGGTTGCGGTAGTTTTGGAAGCCCACCTTGGGGTGTGTCATCACGATCTTGTTCTCCCGCTCAATCTGCAGGTAGCTCACATCACGCTCCCCCATGACGCAGGAGAGGAAGAACTCGGAGTGAGACAGGCTCTGCACGTTGGCAATCAGGGTAATGTCCAGGATGGCCACTGGGGTAGAGGAGCACGAGGGTGTGTCATGGCCAGACAAGGCTACAAACGTTCCAGCTCTGCCTCGGGGCCAGACTCCCTTCATCCAGATGTCACCCCCTTTCCAGGACATTTTCCAGGACCCCCACCCCAGCTCAGGAGCCATAACAGGGAACTGCCAGTTTGGGTGCAGACCCATCAGGCTGGCACAGCGAGCATTTCCACTCTCCTTTTGGAGAACCCCATGGGCTCAGCTCCCCACCATGAGCCAAGTGTGCAGCAGGATGGGGCCCCAAGGCCCCTCTTCTCCTGCAAGCTGCCCGCAGCCCAGCCCCATGCAGGGAGATGCAGGCAGGGGTGGGTGCTACTGCCCCCTGAGGGCTCCAAATGGCCGATCACAAAAGGATGTTTTCTCCTTCCAAACCCTGTTGTGATGGCACCACTGAGCTCCCACAGCTGCCTTGCCCTACCAAGTCTCCCCAGAGCAGGGACTGCTGCCTGGGACAGAGAGAAAGAGGTCATTTACCTGCCAGCCGTGGGAGGAGAAGTAGAAGATAAACCTGGAGTTCCATGTCCTCGGAGTGTGTCCTGGATCTGGCGGAGGTCAGAAAATCTTCAGCATGTCCTTCCGCAGGGGGTTGGAGCTGGAGGCCACAGTTGCCTACAGGCTCTGCAACAGCAGCAGCTCAGGACTCCTGGTCCTGGCCAATGTCCCCCATCTTGCCTCCGCCCTGGTGCTCGGCGTCTGGGGCAGCCAGGACCACCTCCTCTGGTGCATATCTTGGGAAGGGTGAGGAAGATGCCCCTGTTCCTGCTTCCTTGGTGGCCACCCAGCTGTTCACAAGCTTGGCTTGGTGGTGAAGAGGCCACTGAGGTCCTCTCCCTGGCAGCAAGTCTCCCAGGGAGCAGACGCCCACGGTTCCAGAGCTAGTGCTGCTTACTCAGAGCTCCCCAAGCCATGCTGTGACCCCAGTCCAGCCTGGAAGTGTCCCAACCCCCCCCCTTGCCCACTTTGCAGAGGGTCTCATGCCCCAGCCTGCCTGGGTGGCAGCATCTTGGTACCCTCGGTGCAGCTCTGGGTCCGATGGCTGTGGGAAGGGCTCTCTGGAGCAGGGAAAGGAAAGGGGCCAAGGGGCCGTGGCTGGCGGCGGTGGCGGAGCCAAATCCTGTTTCCCATGCGGCATTTCCTGCTCTCCACCCATTGTTCGGAGACGGCCCTGACTCCAGGAGCAGTCGGGAGCTGCCTCATGCAGGCTCTTCCCTGGTGAGCAGCGTGTGGCAACGCTGAGGCCGCACACACCTCATGGCACCTTGGCCTCCTGCCGCCACGAGCCGGGTGCCGAGGCAGGGCCCCACCTGAGCTCCATGTTGTGCCGAGGCCGGACTCACACAGCGGCCTGTGGCAGCCCTGCCCTCCGGGCTGGATAGGGCTGAGTGGGAGCACAGGCAGGGGGATGAAAAGCCAGCCAGCCCACGTGGGAGGATGGCTGCTGCCGGGGGAGAAAACCCTCCACGTTGTAGTAATGTCTCCCTCCATGTCTGGGAGAAAGCGGAAAGCGGCAGTAAGTATTTCCCTGTATTTGCCTGAGTGCTTTCCCATGCACAGAGCCAGCATGGGCAAGACATGGCCCTGCTGCCCCTGAGCTGCAGGGGGTCCTGCATCCAGCCCTCCTGCAAGTCTCCCTTGGTCTCCAGTGGGCTCTGGGCTCTTTGCCTGGCAAATGAAAGGCATTCCCCAGGAAACCACTGTGAACTTCACTCGCCAAGACTCACTCTGCTTTGCAAACTGAGCTGTTCCCATGTGAAAGCCAGAGATGCCAGAGAGCAAGCCTCATGTTTTGGTGTGTCCCGAGCCCATGCCGTATCCGGCCAAAAATCTAAAGCACACATGGAGAGGAAGGGGAAATCCATTCATCGCTTCCGACTATTTACAGCGTGCTCCTGTACCCGCGGCGTGCCGAGGAGGGATGGCAGCAGGCAGGGGCTCCCCCAGTGCAGCCACCCAGCCACAACAGATGGAGAGGGGCTGAAGAAGATGCACACCAGATTCAGCTGCGCCCATTTGCCTGGAATACTAAGCACAGTGCTTTGCTGTGGGCTGTGTGTAGGAGAGGGGCTCTTTTTTTGGGAGGACCCCCAGGGCACCTAAGGCTCAATCCTACTGTAACTGCAGAGCACGAGGCTGTCTCACTGCAGTGTGCGCAGGGGCTGGACAGCTGAGACTGGCCCCTCCTGCTGTTGGTGCTCTCCTGGGGAATCCCACCTCCCCATTTACCTGATTGACTCCAAGCTCATTTGCAAGTGTGTTGGGTCAAGGACTCATCAGTGCACTCAGTACAGCTGCAGGAAGGGGTTAGACATACAAATAGATAAATAAATGGCTTCTTCCCCTAGTTCACTGGCTGTAGAGGCCAATCAAGCTCAGAAATGTCATTGCCATTGTGCCACTGTGTGCTTACATGTGCTGTGCCTGGGGAGCAACTTGCTCCATGCTCCCCCAGCAGCACACAGAGCTGGGACTTAGATGCACTCTGTGAAATGTCCTCCAATACAAGCATCTGTTTGATCAAGATAATTTACACAGAACCAACGTGTTTTATGGAAAGGCTTTGCAGCTGTGGGACCTGCAGCTTGCCCCTCCAGGGAGCACAGCATGGCTTTTCTTATGGCCCAGGGGGAACCAGTGCATTGCTTTGCTCTTTAGGGAATGGGAGCTGTTTGGTTCAGCTCTTCACATGAGATGATGCCCAGGAGATCTCAGGGATCCATCAAGGGATCTGGCCCAAGCTGATTTGTCCCATTACATTTTTTTCTAGGAATACCTGGATGAGGTGTCTATCTGTTCAGATCCTTTGTGTTGGATGTTAGGTGGGAAACCTTCCTGGGAGGTTTTCTAGGGAAATCCAACCAGGACCCTACAGCTCCAGTTTAACCTTACATATCTTCAGAGGAGGTACTAGGGAACTGGGCGCAGCCGAGCCCAGGGAAAATAAATCTCCACACTTGATTTTCTGTAATATGGAAAGCTCCAGCTGCCCAACCCACAGCACAAAGAAAACACCTAAATTTCTGCTGAATTCACAGACCTCAACTTTTTTTGCTGAATCACAACAGACTAAAAAAAAAACAACAAAAACAAAACCGTGACAAAAATACCCCTTTTTGTTATCCTTTGCACGTTCTAATGCACAGCACCGCATGCCAGAAACCATAACACACCGATATGTTTCCTGATAGGAAACGCAAACGCCCTGTGAATCCACCGATGGGCTGGGCTGTCTCAGCAACATTTTCTAGCGCGGATTTTCTGGCCATTTGTTTCATGTTACGTGCACAGTGGGGCCCCAGGAGGCCCTGCAAGGCCAGGTTAAGGGCTGCTGCTGCCAGGTGTAAAAGCAACCTGGGGGCGGGGTGGTTGAGCACCCCCAGCACGCCTGGCTGCATTTGCATCCACCACACGCTTGCAGGATGAAGGACAGGCTGCTGGGAAGCCCTTTCCCAGGGGAAA